TCCCCATTTTTGATTCCAGCTGTAGAGTGCTGTAGTGCTTATCTGTATATTTATCTGCTATAAAATGAAATGGATTATATGAAGAGCTCTACAAAGTGGTCTTCAGCACTCCAAAATTTCCCTAATGCAATTAAGACAGAAATTTCAGAAAATGGAAGATGAGTTAGCTGCCATAAGCTGGTGTTTCATTGGATTGCACACGTATATGCAGTATTTATGTTGTGGGCACTTTCTGTTTCTAGAATGACCATAGACAACACAGGGCAGTGCTACAGTGCAATGACTGGATGGCGTTGGTTGAGCATCTCCATGGAATAAATGCATGGTGAATGTAGTCAGTTCCAGCACATGGACTTCAAGCTGTAAAAAAAATAATTATATTTCTGTCACACCTTCCTTTAAATTATGAAGGAGGGCTTTGCTGGTTCTGCTGCTTCCTAGCATCGCTGGCTTGTTCTCTGAAAAGATTAACAGTCAAGAAAATTGAGGATTCCACCTGCCCTCCCCACATGTACTCACACTTCAGGTTGATCTGATCTTTCTTAATTGCAAGACCAAAACACTTTAATACAAATATTCCTCTTGCTTCCATCCTAGGTAGGCAGTAGTTATTTATAAGTCCAGCATGTTGTGTCTGTCTGAGGCTGCCACATGCTGTTCAACGGCATCCTGATGTTTACTTCTGCCTACTTTCCTTTATAGATATTCTTATCCTGTGCTAGTACTGCTGTCTGCTTTTAAGATGCACAGCGAATGGTGATGTTGCTCTCTACATATCAAACACAATGCATCCCTTTAGATTTCATAGTTCACTGTGCCCCAGGTGCTGTTATTATCAGTCCTGACATCATTCATTTGATATGATGGGCCCTGTCTTTCCATTTATCTGTAATGGACAGGAGATTTTGAATCATTTTATCTTCCAAGCACAGCAACATCTTTTCTTCAAAAAGTGACTTTCCTCTCTCTCCGTTTCTCACTTTCTTCCTTGTCTACTATCTTGTGCATTATATTTATCCTCCCCATGTCTTTATTTTGTATTTCCTTTTCCCATTTGTTTTTGTGGGTTTGTTTTTTTTTTTGGTGTTTCTTTTCTTTTTTCCCTTCTCCTCCCTGTGTATCCCCCCCTTCTTCTCTCTTTTTCCCCTCTCATTTTCCTTTCCATGCAGAGCATTGATCCAGTCTTACTGCAGCCAGCTCAAGAGTTCTATTGACCATATCAGCCTTGGATTAGGACTAGGTAGTGTCTCCCACTCCAAACACATTTCAGAATTCAGTAAAGTTGGAAGCTGAGGTGCTTGGGATCTTTTGCTTTTGCACTTAAGCCAAGCAGGCCTAAGGGTAAGACAACAAAGAAGACAAATATTCAGTAAAACTTAATGTCAAACTTTGAGGTACAAGATTAAAAGCAAGGTCTCACAGTTGCAAACAGACTTAAAATATCATTCTATTTTTAACCGAATAAGTCCATGCTTTAGCAACTTAACTTCTTTCTCATTAACTTTCTCTGAGTTGTCCCTGCCTTCAGAGCAAGATCTAATGCTTGGCTTAGAAGTGCATTTACTGCCTTTGGATTCAGAAGAGAAAACTCAACCTCATCTTTATGACTGTGGTGTATCAACTTGAGATGTTAAGGATCCGGTTTTCGTAGAGTAGTTCTCCCATTTGCAGTTCTGAATGACTACCTGCCTTTATACTTCTTTAGAGGTGAGGCTTATAGAGGTGCAGGAGTATTATTGATGATGTATAATGATATTTGAAACCAACAGTCATCAACAAATTCACCTGTGGTTGAATTTTCTGTGCTCACAGCCAAAGGAGAGTTGTACGTGTTCCATCAGATCTTTGCTCCAGGGTCAGGGCTTGAATACTTTCTGTTCATTTTATAGGGCTGCATGGCGCTAGTATATCTGAAGGACAGACTGCCCAAGCATTTCTTTCCTCAGACAATTGTGAGTGCTGAATGCTTTGCTGTATATCACTGTGGCAGTGTTTTCTGGCTACGTACGTTTTTAGAACAGCTTAGTTATGCTTAGAGGATCCTATCTTCTACCAGCTCTGTAGCTTTTCCTGAGTTATTCTAGAGCTACTTACAGAAGCGTTACAGCCCTAGAGTCTGCTTCTAGGAGAAGGTCAAAAGTGTTTGGTCTTGCCTGGTGGGAGAGACATGATATTTGCACAAGTTACTTCAAATTGTGGAACTGATCCTTCCTACAGTGGCCCTAATGGATCGTATCTCTCAAAGGTTGTGGCTGAAATGTTTAATGGAGCCACTTCAGTTCATATGTAGAACAAAGGAGGAAATAGTTTCCTTTTGTTGTGCTCTGGTAGCCAAGCAGTATACCCCAAGAGGCAGCTAACAGCTGTCCCAAATGCTGACCCTCATTGAAGAACTGTTTAAACGTAGAAAAGGAGGTAGAGCTATAACAAAAGTTCAATCCAAAGCATCAGACTTGTGAGCAAGAGAAATACGATTTAATTATGGGTAATCTGTATTGAGATGGAGGTGGGGTTTTCTATACTTTATTGGAATTCCTTGTGGGAAACATTTTCATCACTTGGTTTGAGCTGCTCACAGACCCATCCAGGCTGTCACGCAGTCTCACTAATGCTGCAAAGGGGAGAAGATATAAAGCATTTAAAGCAAATATAATAGCTTGGAACTGCGTTGTGAGAAATGCCTTTTGATTTGAGAAGTGAATTTCATTAAATCCTGCCAAATGTAGAAAGCCAGTCTCAGCTTTCCAGTCCCTTCATTTGCTATCAGCACTTGAGATCAGCTTAATATTTTACCTTCACCCTTGGCTGCAGAGCATAACGGACAAAACTATTATCTGCGAATGTCATCGCTATTAGGAGAGGAAGAGAAGGAAAGGAACAAGGGAACAGAGCTGGTAGGGATCTCCAAAAATAAACAGCCTTTAACAGTATGATCTGAGGGAGAGAGTGAGATTGGAAAAATCAGTGTCTCATAATTTAATTAAAGTTCTGCATCTCCTTCAGAGCTGCAGCTACAAGCTGCCAGGCAGAGGGCTAATATTTAAAGGTCATTTAAATGAACAAAGATGTTCATCATGGAGGGACAAAACTGAACTTTGCCTCCCAGTTCTTGCCTAGATTTTACCTTCCTTCCCTGTTGTAAATAACAGCTTTGCCTGTGAATGGCACGGGGCAATTGAACTGTCACAGGGTCTCCTCTAGGAAGAGCCTCCTTTTTTGTCAGAATGGTGGAACTGGTAAACTGCAACATGGGCAGAGTGAAGACTGTCCGAAGAGTGAGAGTACTGTGAGCTATGGACATGTCAGCATGCTGTGTAGAAGCTGTGCTTGTGAACCAGCACTGCATTCCAGTCCACAGGCCATAGCAGAACCAGACGCTGCAGTGAGAAGTGCTACAACGCAACAGAGTTGATTAGCAGTTTTTCTTGCATCCTTTTCTAAGAGACCATGCATTTCTTCTTGTGTTCTAAAAGAAAAATAATTTATTTATATATACATATATTTTACAAAGTGGTTTTTGGTTTAGTGACTTTTAAAATGGAGTTATACCTGCTGGAAGGAAATTGTGTATGCAACAGGTTCTTAGCAGAAATACACTTGTCAATCTCAGCTGAGCATCTGCTGTCCCGCAGGTCAGGAGAGGTGAGCCTACATGCCTGAAGGGCTATGAAGAAACATAACAGAGGTGGTCATGTTTTCACATGGAATTTCTGGTAGAAGCATTCAGTGACTTCTCATGCTTTAGCTACTGGTAATATTTTCCAACTTGCAGAATGAGCAGTGTAGGAGCTATGGGTTACGAAGAAAGAAGGGAATTCAGGTAACACTGGAACTAAAGTCAGAATGAGTCTTGTGATGTTGCCAGAAACCCCAAGATGGCATCAGAGACCTTGTTTTTCTCCATTAAAATTGTATGATATTTTCAGTGAATTTTATTGTTTCTTTGTTTTCCTTTCTTAACCAGTTCTCCAATGTATCTAGTATTTTTTCAAGTATTCCAGCCTTAAGACCTTTTTTCTGCAAGCATGATTTGCAAGGCACTGATAATGTCAAAGCTGCTGGATGCAATGCACCCCAGTTGCAATGCAAGATTCTGCCTGAAGACCACCAGATCTGTACTTATTCTGTTACTAGGAAGCTGGAACAGCAAAGCTGGGTGTAACTCTGTAGCTAGAAATTTGTCCAGTACTTAAAATAGTTAGGTTCTGCAATGCACACAATCACTAATGAGGGAAATTAGTCAGATTTTGCAAAATTGTACGATGATGTACTGCTCCTTACAATCAAATATCCTGCCAAATTTTTCACTGATCACTGAGTCAGGAGCAGAATATTTTCAAGCCAACTAATGGAAACACTTTCTCAGTGCAAATCTAGGATCCTTATTTAGCTTTTTATTCAGTCTTTGCAGTGAATCTAGGTAATTGTTCCACATAATGATGTAGCATGCATCAAGATCTTCTTGATGTGCTTCAGATAGCTACATTTCTCATGAGCGGAGGAGCTTAAATGAGATATCCAGCTCATCTCATTTAAGTGCATACATATTTCAGACTGGTCGAAGAGATTCAAGCACCTGTCTTCAATTAGAATGAGTAGGAGTTGGATGTACTTATTTGCTGTGGAGGTTTTGAGAAGCCTTTGCTGCATGTAAGCTGGGTGAGTTTTGTAGATAGCACAGAATTTAGAGCGTTTCCGAAGATAATTTTGTGTGTAAGTAGTCCTGATTGTGTGTGTACTTAGGTAAAGGAAAATCTACATTTATTTTCAGGGCTGTAACTGTGTGAATTCTGGAAAGAAAGGAAATGATAAAATCTGCATGTGTTATGCACCTCTGAAACATACTGATTGTTGATTCATTCCAACACAATGTTAAAAATCTTTGATGTTTTATTTTGATTGACATTCCCCATCTTCGTGCCAGGTCTTGCCAGAATCAGGAACTCTTTGGAATCAACTTTTGTTTCAGGGGTTTGTGATGTGTTGTTTTGTGATTTCAGCCATCGTTGTTCCTTGAGTGGAGACGATCTGAACAGACAGTGGCTGACACCCAGTTCTCAGCTTCATCCAACAATTTACCACACCAAAGGTCTTCTGTATTATCTGCGCAGCATCGGCCGGGCCCCTCTGGTGAGTAACTCCCAGTTTCTTCTGTGGGTTATTGTGTGCAGATTGCTTATTGCAGTTGTGTGAGCAGCCTTGTTTTATGGCTAGAGAGATTTGGAAAGCGTCCTATGCTGTTATACTTTCATCCTTCAGGAGTGTTTTTGAAAGTCTTGGATTATCTGCTGAATCTTCTAACCAACTCCAAACTTCAGAGTCTTTGCACACCTGCAATGTGAATATAAATTCTTTAAAGCTCCTTAGTATCCTCAAAGTACTTCAGCTAAGCTAGATATTGTTAGTAGGCTATTGCTATCTTTCTGGCAATGACAGAAGAAATTCTGTAAGGGCTGAAGACTGTAGTCTTCTGTAGTCTGAATGGATCATGTAAAAGCTGAAGCTGGAGCAGTCTGTGCAATCACAGAAACGCAGGAGTTAGTCTTCAAGATGTTTGAACTTCCCTGCTGCTTTAGTGAGAAGAAAACGACTTTTGGGGGGAACTACCAGAAGTTCATGAGGGATGATGCTACTGGGATCTGTCCTCATCTGCTTTGTCTTGGTGCTCTGCAGAATGAATAGTTCTGAGACTTCAGGATAAAAAACACTGAGTTTCAAAAGTTGATGAACAGAATGAAAGCGGATGGACCGGCAAGTTGGCCTCTGATAGCCCCAGTTAGGCAGGAATGTCCAAAGATGCACAGTTCCCTCTGGTCTCGATGAGAAAGTGCTCAGACAAGGTGCAAATGTCTGTGAATTTCTTTAAGTGAATTTTTGTGGAAATATGCTATTTTCAACCTAAACAGCAACCCTGATGTTCAGCTCTGTACTCCAAGGAATCTACTGGAAGTTCAACTTACAGCTGAGAGTTTACTCACCTACATTTTCTTTGGGTTTTGAGCTGATCGTCTGATCAGTTTTGTTTTACCACGCTCATCTTATTGGGTCTTTTTTATTTAAATTTATCAGAACCATCCCTGTCATATCTAGATGCATGAAGTTGAACATGCACCCAGTGGAAGTTTTCATCCTGCTGAGTGAAGTAAGGCTATTGATCCTATCATCTCTCTCACTCACAGGCAGTATGTCAGACGTGGTAAACTGATTTTTCTTTGCCTTTGAAGAGTATATTGATTTTGGTTTTTACATGCTCACAAATGCCTTTTCCCCACTACAGAAGGGAGCTGGGTTTCTTCTGCCTTGTACTCACTGCCATGATGCCATGAAGCCAATTTCACCGATAGCTAAATGATTTCTGTGGAGTGGATTAGTTTCATTTATACTGAGGATGCGCAAGCACTTTCTTCAAAGCAAAGAAAAGATGCTTGAAAGAGAAAAGGAAATAACTTCAAAGTTAACAGCCTTTTAAACCAAACCCATTTTAATTGGTAACTACAGCCATAGAAAACAGCCTTCTAAGTGCTTTTTTTTTTTTTTGCTACCCGTGTTGGTTTGGGAAACCTTAGTAAAAGAAGGGGCTGGATGAACTGTGGTATTGCAGCTCTCCACTGCAGGGGATTTCTTGTCAACTAAAAGCGGTGGGAGTATGAGAGAGTGAGCTTGGGAGCAGCTGGGACTGAGGAGGAAAGAGATGCTGCTTTCCCCTTGAGCATTTGTGGTGAGGAAACGCTACAGTCTGCAAGTTACAGTTGACAGTGCGCTTGCAGCATGCAACAGGAAAAGTGTAGCTCATACAGAGAGGTCAAGCTGCACCGAAGAGCAAGTTACTTGAGAGGGGGACAGAAAGAAGCTCCTAGGGACCAGGAGACACCAAGCAGTGTTTGCTTTCAAAGGTATTCTGTGTTAAGCTTGGAAACGGATCTGACTGGAAGGATGTAGCTTTTCGTGAACGAAAAATCTTAAATGTGTCTACCTTGAGACTCAGATTGGGTCCTCTCACAACGCTACTGAGGAAAAATGGAGATTTTTGAAGAAAAAATACAGAAACTTCAAGATGTTCTGTTTGCCAACAGAGTTTTTTGCTTCCATTTTCTGTTTGCTTTTCCTTTGTTTTAAAAGCTTCCTGATTCTGTGAGTCATGAGGGGGATTATTTTTGAGTTTGAAAGCAGTCCTTACCTTTATGATGCTCAATCCTGTATGTAACTTTAAATAGATAAAAATTTGCATGTGTATCTTGAGTCATACCCCAGTGAACACGAGACTTGGAATCTGACTATGTGTTAGTATCCCAGCTGTACGAGATGGACAGAGTAGAGAAAAAAGGGTAGGTAGGTCCCAAGTTTGCCTTGTGGTTGCTCAGACATAACCCCAGAAAAGTTCTGCATTGGGTGCTGCAACTACAAAATACAGTTTTTTCTTGGCTAAATGATGAGGCTTAAGTTATTCTGTAGAATAAAAATAGAGCAGAAGAATGTATTATAAAAGAAAACAATTTGTGATAAACATTGCGAATAACTGCAGTATTCAGGAAAATTAATTAAAACGAAGGTCTATGCAATGCACAAATGGAATGGAAATATTTCTAGTAGTGCTGGCTTCTCTGCTGTGGAGGTGGGTGGCAATCAGCGATACATCCCAGGGCATGAAACAGTGGTGTTACAGAGCCTGGATCTTACAATCCTTTACTAATATGGAACGCTTGTTCCTGACTTGTCACTTAGGGACTCACTGGCAGGTTTCTTGAGATGCAGAGTTATAGACCTCCTACTTATCAGGCAGCACAGCTATCTGAGCAGCTGATCATCCCTGTGTGGTTTTCGATAAGTAATCTTTTAGGTAATAATATATGCGTCTTGCATGTTAGTAATTCTGTAAATTGGCAGGTAATTGATACCCGGTTGAGCTGGGATCTCTGCCTCGAAATAGAACCACAGCTATAAAATCTTCTTTGATATTCATAGGAGTAAATTCTAGGTGGTACCTGTGGTTAAGCTAATCTATGACTGTATTGCTGGAAGCGTAGATGGAATGCTAACTGGAAAAATGCCTGTCATTAAAAGAACCAATAAATGCAGCTGTTTGGAAGGGGCCTTTATGGGATAATTCCCTGTGTTTCAGGCAGTTGCTTGCAGTGCAGGGCCACGTAAGCCCTGTGTGTGCACACAGCCTGGCAGCTCAGCTCTGCTGTGGTCTCACCTCCAGTGCCACGTGCAGGTTTGGTGCCACAAGATAAGAAGGACATAAAACTGTTACAGTCTGAAGGATGGCTGCAAAGATGATAAAGGGTCTGGAGGGCAAGGTGTGTGAGGAGCTGCTGGAGTCCCTTGGTTTGTTATGTTGGAGCAGAGGAGCTGAGGGGAGGCTCATGGTGGCCTGCAGAGCCCCACAGCTGGCGGGGGTTCAGCGCTGCTCTCTGCTGACTCCACAGGACCAGAGGGAACAGCACTGAGCTGCCTCAGGAGAGGGTCAAATGGGGAAGGTTCAGTACACGGTTTGAATTTTGGGTGGTCTGTTTGGAGCTAGAAGTTGGACTTGGGTGATGCTTTTGCAGGTCCTGTCCAACTCAGGGTGTTCTGTGGCTGTAACTGTCTGGTTAGTTAGGACTTGTGGGATGAATCTGTGTGTGTGTGTCTTAGCATCTCCAGTCAGTGTACAGCTTGTCAGAGCAGCTGGAAGTATTTAAATACTCAGTTCCTAGATTATTAAACTTCCTGACTGGCTGCAGCTAAAGTTAGTTACTGTATAACTAGTAAATAAGCATACTAGGATAAAAAATAAAACCTGCCTCAACAGTTGGTGGAAGAAGTTGATCTACTCCATCTGTCTATGTTTATATAAGAACACACATTTTTCTCCCTCATTTTTTTTATTGATCCATAGTTCTTCCCTACCTCTTGACACCTGTCCCTTTGTCTCCACTATATGCCTCAGAAAACTATTTAAATGAGATCATGAAGTTTCTTTCTAATCAGCACTAAATATTGTTTTAAAATGAACCAATTCCTTCTCTTTAGAAATCCTTGTCTTTTCATTGACAGATTTCTGAATTTTCCTGATAAAGGCATGGAGAATATATGTAACAGCAGTGTCTATATTGACTTCATATTTCAGAGGGCAGTGAGATTGATTATTATTTAACATTTGTGTCGATATTTACCTCTTGGGTCATTAAATCAGGATTTTCATTTTTGTTGGAGTTGATACCTGCCTATGAGGGCAATCAAAACTTCCATTAAAACCTGGAATGTACCTTGTACCTAGTTTATATGACGTGAGAGGTGGATTAGATAGATAGATTAGATAGTATGGAATCAGATTATTTGTCACAAAGATAGATAATGCTCTGTGCTTGCTGTCTAGGAATTCATGTAAGGATCTGACCACATATGATACATTTCTACACAATTGCACAATTACATTTTCCTGAAAATTATGTAGCACAGTTTTTGAATTTAAAGAAGCCAAGCTGATTAATTACTGGGGAAAGGTGCAGTTTTTAAACCTCCTGAAGATAATGCTAGAGTTGAGAAGTCAGAGGAGCCTGACAAATTGCTGTGTTGTATCATAAGTTACCATGAACTCTCAGGTTCCTGAGTTGGCATGGAATCTTGCACAGGTGTCATGTTTATTTCTGCTGTAGACAGAAATGCACTGGTGTTGACATTGGATTCATGAGATCATGTCAGATCCAATAGATAAAGCAAGGTACAGCTGACTAACAAAGTTTGACACTGATTATAGGCTAGGCCCAGAGCAATGAGTTTGTCTGAAGAGAACGGAAAAAAATTCTTCACATATAATCGCCTAGTGTTTATAGTGTGCGCGAAGAACCAGGAAACTTACTTCAATATTCAAGATTTTCCCTTTTTTTCCTCTCTAGGTGTTCTGTGACTACCATGGCCACTCCCAGAAAAAGAACGTGTTCCTCTATGGTTGCAGCATCAAGGAGACTTTGTGGCAAGCAGGCTGCATGGTTGACACAGCAGTTATCACAGAAGATGTTGGCTACAGGGTAGGTCCACTTTGTTTGTTTCTGCAGTTGCTGGCATACATGTGTACCTACATACCTCCTTAAGATGAGGTCAGATCACAAGTTCTGTATGTGCAAACCCCTCCTCCAGAGGAGTAGAGATCCAGAAAAATTCAAATAACTCCTGGTATCTTCATGTGCCAGCTATCAGTAATAATATTGTCAATAGGTGGATCTCTATTTCATTTTATTAAGATTCTCTTTTATTGTCTTTAGCTACTGACTAATAGGAATGTTGTATTTTTGTGTTTTGTGAGTTCCAAGTGTACATGGACACTCCTGCATTAGAAGTAGCATGGCCAGCAGGAGCAGGGAGGTGATCATCCCCTGTACTCAGCTCTGGTGAGGTCGCACCTCTGTGTTCAGTTTTGGGCACCTCACTACATGAAAGACGTTGAGGCCCTGGAGCGTGTCCAGAGAAAGGCAATGAAAGTGGTGAGGGGTCTGGAGCACAAGTGTTATGAGGAGCGGCGGAGGGAGCTGGGATTGTTTAGTCTGGAGAAGAGGAGCTCAGGGGAGACCTCATTGCACTCTACAGCTTCCTGAAGGGAGGTTGTGATGAGGAGGGGTTTGGCCTCTTCTCCCGGGCAACAAACAGGACCCGGGAAATGGCTGCAAGTTGTATCAGAGGAGGTTTAGGTTAGACTTAAGGAAGAACTTTTTCTCTCAGAGTGGTCAGGCACTGAAATGGCTGCCCAGGAAGGTGGTGGAGTCACCATCTCTGGCAGTGTTCAAGAGGTGTCTGGGCGAGGAGCTGCAAGATACGGTTTAGTAGCTTGTGGTAGCAGTGGTAGTGCGAAGACAGTTGGACTAGATGATCTTATAGGTCGTTTCCAACCTTGTGATTCTATGATTCTATGTGCTTCACTCACCCACAACTCATGAGAAGTCCTTGTGGAAACACTTGTTTCACAAGGAAAGCAGATAGGGTGCTTCAATCAGAACATCGCTTGTTGTATTTGAATTCAGAGAGCTTGAAAAGGCTGAGGGTAGCTCATTGTTACACAAACAGAATTCAAATGCTGCTTTCAGCATCTGGTGCCTGTCTTGAATTTGCAATGAAGAAACCAAGAGCAAGCCTCCAAGGGTGTCCATAATCTGCAGTGGCTTAGATGAAAGATTTCGTAATTAGAATTCTCCCTTTTGCACAATATGGGAAGTTTCTCTCCTTCCTTCCATGAGTAACTGGGGATGATCCTGACCTCCATGATGGATTTACTTCCCAAAAACATGAACAAAATACCTCGAGAAAATTGTGATGTTAGAATAGCCTTTGCTGTAGCCCTTGACCATTCGTGAGAGAAAGTCATTGTTACCTTCTAATATTTGGGTTCAGATGACTTGTATAGCATCGGCATCGCAAAACCCAGCTTCAGGATTTCTCCTTTTAATTGCCATTCCAGGCCCCTTGGACAGTAATCTCTGAAGAGACATCAGTAAAGAATCCTAATTCCATTCTGACCAAATGGGAATAGAGGTTTATGGACAGGGTCGTGTATGAGGGGCAGCACCCCTGCTGTTGTACATGCTAAATCCAGCTGTATGAGAGACAGGGTGTGCAGTTATACTAATGTATTGCCATAAAAGAATCCTTTGAAAGGATGTGTTTTCACCGTCCCAAAAATACAATTGAAAGATAATTAATGAGAAAAGCAGAAAAGAAAGAACTATTAGTGTGAAATCCAGTGAAAGCTGGTAAAATGAAAAGAATATTAAATTCAGATTTGCTAATGCTTCTAAATGAGTCCTGACTACAGAGACATTACCGTTACCTGCCAGCGTTTTTATTTAATCAAATGTAAAAGATTGATTATGCATATAATTTCAATTGTTTTTAAAGACTAAACTGGATTAGGGATCTGATTATGGTATTTCATAGTATATATTTACAAAAATCTGTGTGCTGCTTCAGATAAGGGCAGAATGAAAACTATCTGGGCCTTCACGCACAGTTTAACTGGATCTTATGATTGTGCTCAGGATTATAATTGTTTGGGTGACTGTGCTGTATTTTTAACCCAGCTCCAGGAAAACCTGGAAGTGCTGCATGGAATCATAATATTTTGCAGCAAATTATACTTTGGAGGCAATTCAGAAGCAGTGAACGTTTAGTCCAGAGCAAGTAATCAATTTTAAAGATTCCTCTGTTCAGTATTCTCACAGGAAAAGGAATGCTGTAGCTCTTAATAGCGCACTGCAGATCTTGACTTAAGAGTTAGGCTCGTGCTAGTCTCAGATTTGAAATGTAATCTCTCACTTTGTTCCAGTTTCCTATTCATCAGATTTTTCATCTGATGAATGGACCTTATGATCTATAGATCTGCACCTCACAGAACTGGTAGTGTCTGTTCACAGCTATAGATAAGGATATACTGGAAATAACATTTACTTTATTACAGAGGTATGTATGATTAAGATGTTTGCAGTGGATATGGCAGAATAGTTTAGGCCAAAGATTTATCATCTGCATCAGTCATGCTTTAAGAGAAGACCTGCTATTAAACATTACTTTTTCAATTTTGATGAAACCATGTATTCCTGTACAGAGCGATGACGTAAAGCTCAACAGAGTGGAGCTAGAATTGCTTAGAATCAATCAGTTTCACTGATTGTTATTGGAAAGTGAAATTAGCTGGTTGGCTTTCATCGCCCAAACTGAATGAAATTCGAGGGTAAATGCCATTAGCAATGAGCAGAAACTCCTTCTGTATGATTCCATTCCATCCAGAAGTTTAAGAAAGCTGTCATCAAAGAAATAATGAAAGTTCTTATTTGACTTGCTCTACACTTGATGGACCAGATGGTCTTTGGGCATATATCAGCATGCAAGCACTAAAATTTATATGCATGTATGTGCATATGTATGTAAAAGCCCAATTTCTACACAGAGCACACCTAGTCTTAATGTACGTAGTATATATTTTTACAGGTAGGGTGAAGAAGTGTTGCATCCACACTGATAGAAATATTTGATAGCGCCGTGTATTAGCAGTGTTTATAGGCTGCTGTTGAGAAAAATGATGTCTAGAATAAGAAAATCACTCAGAACTAAGAGATAATTTTACTGAATTTTCATATTTACTCTTTATTGTCATTTTCTATATGGAGAGTATCCAATGTTCCATTTGATCCCAGATGAGAATATTTTGCTTTATTTCACAATGCAAGATATTTAAACGTTAAGCTCTATTTTCCTATAATTATCTGTGACCTTCAGTGGGATTACACATTCCCTTTCTCTGCTGTGTGCTGCATTCAAACAAAATTCCTCCTGTAGTTGAATCCCTTGTCAAATTGTGAATGCATAAAGGGAGGAGCTGGAAAGGAGAGAATGGAAACATTGTGTGCAGAGCTATGACTGCAGCCCTCTAGGCAGAACAGGAAAATGTAGTTAATGTTGAAGCAGCTTGAAAGTAAAACTTTGTAAGTGACTTCAGCAGTCCAAAACTATTTGGTGTGCAGATACTTCATTTTGGATGGAATGTACCAAATGTACTTCTAGCATTTTTGTCTGTGCCTGGGGAAAACAAACAAACAAACAAACAAACAAACAAAAAAGCACAACAAAACATTAGAATATGAAGATTTAACTTGGGATGAAGATGAGTCCAGTTTGGCACTAGTTGGGACTGTCACAGTGACAGTTTCTACAGATAGATTTGGTGATATACGCACTTTAAAAAGCATAGGTCTTTTTGTAGATGTGTGGGTGATATAAACGCACGTACATCTGTTCGATTCATTTTCTCATTGCTGATACTTTCTCATAGACTCTTCCTAAAATCCTGGACAAAGTGGCCCCTGCGTTTGTCATGAACAGCTGCAGCTTCCTTGTAGAAAAGTCCCGCGTGTCGACGGCCCGGGTGGTGGTGTGGCAGGAAATGGGTGTGCTGAGGAGCTACACCATGGAGAGCACGTACTGCGGCTGCAGCCACGGTCTCTACAAAGTGAGTACATCTTTCAAAGAAGTACGTCCACGTTCCTTCTAATGTGTGTCTCATGAGCTTGGAAGAATAAAGACAGAGTGCTGTTTTCTTGCTGTTTGATATTGCCAGCTTCCTTCTACAATACGAGCGTAGCCATGCTTCTGGGTTTCTTCTCAGTTAAATCTTTCCATGATCCCTCACTCCTTCAATCTTCCATGCCAGGGAAGTAGATTCCTTGCTATGAGGTTTCGTTTGACACTGAAGTAAAAAGAAATTCCAGTCTAATGCCAGAAGCATTGAGCTGAAGGAAGGAATGTTTTTGAGATGATGCAGAGTGTTTATTTCTAATGCTATTCACAGTCTAAGGTAAGTCTAAAGTCTAAGGTAACTAACATGAATATTAGGAGTCGGACACTTTCTGTTGCAGTCTATCTGAGCATTTGCTTGGCTAAACTTAGGAGCCTGCACTGAGAATTTTGCACTTGGAATTTCCTGTTACTGGCAGCCAAAGGTAGCTAATCTATGAGCTCAGGCCATGGCTTTGTCTGTGAACTAGATGAACCTAAATTTGTTACCAAATGAGGTTCTAGATATTGTGGGAAGGACTGCATTTATGCTGAGTGCATGAGACAGGAGCCTCTTGGCACTTCTTAAGTACACAGTTTGAACTCTGGTAATTGTGTTAAGCTGTTCGTAATTCTCCACTTACTCAAATGGTGAATTCTTTTTGTTCCTTTCCCAAACCTGTTGCTTTTATGGAAGGGATTCCATGCTCCGCCTTATTTCTCCCACTAGGGAGCAATCCTCGTCTATATAGAATTAATATGTGGTTAAGGATCTGAAAAGACCCTTAAGGAAAGAGCCATTCTTACAAATAACAATTAATAAGACATTCAAATTATTATTCTTTTCAAGCTCTATACTAATCCTTTTATATTCCATAGAATATAGCCAGCAAGTACTCAACTATTGTTTTAAACAGTGCCCTGCTATACACACATTATTTCCAAGATAGAAAAGGCAGAAGAAATATCTGAAGACAGTTTAAAGAAGGAGAGTATAACTGCCCTGAGCATTACACTTAGTGCTCCCTACTCTGAGAAGTGCTAATGGGTTTTTAATAGGCACCACAGGTTGTGGCAGGGTTTTAAACCTGTGGACAGTGGGGGAAAATTCTACCTTGACTAACATCAATGGTAAAACTCCTAGTGATCTCCATGGAGAATTTAACTCATTTCCTAGATAATCAGAGTAACATCTAAAAGCAGTTGGACATCAGGTTATATCAATGTCTAATGATTTGTTCTCTACTTCCTTTAGTGTCTTCAACCCAAATTTGCTAAAGGTATGCCAGCAGATTTAAAATGTTTTATGCAGCAGTCTCCCAAGTCCACCACCACTTAGTAAGCTGATGGTCAGACTTCTGATAGTGTTGATAGCAGTTCTGAATCCTGATCTTTGACTTTCTTCCTGCTTGAAAATGGTGAAAGTAATGGAGAATGTAGCTGCTTTGCTGGCTGTAAACTGAGATACAAACTTCTTGTGCTTGGAGTTGCCCGTATCTGATAGGGAGTTTGCAAAGAATTTAGGGAAAACGAGAAAGCTTTAAAAAGACTGCAAGAGGCTCAAATATTAAATGCATAGGGCTGTCAGGTGAGCCCCCTCTCACCACAGAGCAGTGTTGTAGGAGGGCTGAGTTAAACCAAAAGGCAGCCCGTCTGATAGAAAGTCCAGAACAGAAGTTCCTAAAGTTTTTCGAAGGCACAGTGTGTTCATATCTTGGATAGAAATGTGACTTTCATTTCTAAAGCAGTTTAGTGAGTGAAAAATAAGGTATGAATTTGTTACTAGTGATATGTAAATGAAAAACAGTTGTGACCCCAGCCTCGATTAAAAGTCGTTTGATTTCCAATGGGTACGGGGGAGGGCAGAAATGAGAGCAAAAGAAAAGATGACTTGTCTCTGTTGAATCTCCCTGTCTGTGTGATCAATGGAAATGCAATAAGCCATCTACCCTTAAGGAAGAGAAACATAAAACTAAAGAAACTATTGATCTTATCTAAGGTTTTATTCAACATAGGGAAGAAGAAAAGAAGGGGGAAAAAAATCCAGACTCTCATTTTGTCTGGATTGTCCAATTGAGTCTTAGAACAGCAGTGTCTCCATTTGAAAGCTGCTTAAAACAAAACGGCCCATTTCAACGAAGAATTCTCCTTCCTACTTCTACCAGTTTACAATCTCACAATCAAAACAAAAAATAATCAGAAACTGCCTATCATTTCTCTCCCAGTGTGAAAGCAGTGTTTATTACTCCTTCAGTGGAGCTATTACCCTCCAGGTTTTTATTGCTGTACTCCTTTTGCAGAATGTTGAGCCTTCTTGTCTTATTTGGTTTGTAGAATACTGAATATAAGGCTGTACCATAAGAAGTTCTACTCAGAACAATTGGGAGCATCATGGGCCCAAACGAGTCAAATCTGCAGTAACACATATGGATATTCTTATAAGTTTCTTTTGTGTGATTCATTTTTAAACTTGCGTGTCTCTTTGTTGTTATCATATCCTATCATGATACATTTTATTCTTGATTCTTCGTTACCTGGCCTCCTATTTAAGACCCCTGTAGTAACATACTGTACTGGGCTGTTCAGTTTACTAACTGTATTTATCATCCTACAAGTTGATATATTTCGTGCCACGTATACATTTGTGTTCCAAAACAGGTATGTTAGCAACACAGCAAATCTCAAAACTCAGCTTCATGCCCTTTTAGTACGTGCTATGTTGGAAAGGCATTTTCCTTGACACGTTGTGGCTGGTGGAGGAGATGAAGTACTAATGTAAATAGACTTCAGCTTCTTGCTTCAAAGGGATATGCGCGACAAGGAGTAACAAATGAGTTTTTAAATTATTCCAGATATCTTGACAAGACCCTTTGAAGGAGATTTTACTGGTGACATGGATCCCTTTTTGAAGAAAGTCTTTGGGAGAGTCAAGAAAAAAAATTAATTCTGTCCAGTCTAACGCTTCTGAGTTAGAGGAATAGAATACCCCAACTTTTATCACTGGATTTGATGAGAGGGAAAAGCCATTCATTTGCAGAAATGTTGGAATTAGGGAAAGCAGCACCAAGCAGAGTGACCATACGTTCATAAGAAATCATTGATAGTTGTTCAAAACACCTTTGTTGAAAGGAGGCTTTTGGGAATTTCAAGAGTGCTCTTCCACAGAACCCATGTTCACGCTGGAAGAGTTTTTCCTCTTTTGAGTCCAACTACTCAGCTTAGGGAAGTGGTGAAGCAAGCCAGAGGTGATAAATACCAGACAAAGTTTGAGACGTAAACTGTTGATTTTTTATTGTTGTTGATTAGTTTGATTTGGTTTTGCTTGCATCCTCTCCAGTCATTTACAGTAGGAGAAAGTAGAGGTAAAATTGTGCCTGATGATACGGCAGCAATTGGCAGGTAAAACCTGGCTGGAGTAACTGGCAAAAGTCATGGCCTGCCGAACTGTTAGAAGCCCTCATCTCTTCAAAACTCACCCCAAATAAACAGAGAGTAAATGTCCCTAAGGGTTCTGTGAGCCATCTTCTTGTGAGTGAGGATGTGTCATCAGTAATGTGGCGTGTGTTCCACAAATCATGTGCCATCTTCCTGAAGATGCCTTGTTCTGTTTAGTAGATTAATGAATTGCATCTTTTTTTTTAATGCTGTATTGGCATACACCATTGAATTGCCATGGAAGTGTGGTAGAAATAAAGCAGTATGCCAAGATGAAAGCCTTTCCTCTTGCTACTTTTTCAGGGGTGGGCTGCTCTGGTTTGACCCATTTTTGCCCAAGTAACCGAATTGTTACTAATATATCATTTGTCCCTGAAATTATAGCGCTATTTCTTTATAGTTATCTGTAGACAATAAAAGATTTTCTTTATCTTCCTTATTATTGCATATTGCATACTATATTTCTGAGGAATTTTTATGTATGCCTTACTCATAAGCACTTTATTACAGTCAATAGTCAGAAATTGAGTTGTTTTGAGGGAGTTTGCAGTCGCATAACATTGCTTCTGTATGCCAGTAAGATGTAGATCATTCTTGTAATTGGACGCCTAGTGCACAGACTTGCAAATAATTTTAATTTGGACTTTTGCCAGCATTCAGGCACCAACAGAAATGGTTGCAGCAATGTTCTTGCCACAGAGCATATTTGATAACTATTTGCAGAAGGGAAAAGAAAAGAGATGGGGCTTATTCTGTGCTTTCTGATGCGCGTTCCTGTAAACTGTTTACATCTTCTATGAAGTCTGAGACTTTTCTTATTTCTGGTTTCCATTGTCTCCCACGTTTTACCCTTTTCCTAAGTACGGGTAAGTTTCACAAGCATCCAGAAGTTTCTTTCCAAAAAATGATCTCTAAAATGTGCGTTTACTGAACCCTCTGAGGCCTGGGCACGTCTTTCAAAAGCAGATGCTGAGAAATACAGAAGGATGTTTTTTTTTTCTTCGTAGTTCTGCTTCCAGTTCTGGTCCAAAGTGACTCAAATTGGAAGCAGCTGTAAGAGTAAGAAAAGTATAAGAGAAAAAAAAAATAGTTATCTTGTAGTAATCTAAGGATTGAAGAATTAAATTAAGGTTTCTGCTGATTATGTTTTCTTTAGTTGTTACCCATTGCAAAAGTTTGCATCCTGTTTTCTATATTTTCCTGCTCCTTTTGTGTCCACCAATCCTCTTCAGTAAATTGTGATTCACTTTTCAAAATATTCTAATTGTACCTTTTAGTCTTGATGATTTCACTTAATACAACGATGTAAAAGTTAATGGCATTTAGGAAATGAGCAAAGGCACGTGGGAAAGAGCAAACCAACCAGAGACAGCGAGCATTCATCTTCCTTGGACTGCCAAACTAACATAATGATTAGTCTGCAAGCACAGCACCATGACTTGTGGCTTGCAGCCACAAACCTGTGTTTTCTGGTCCTCTTAGGCTGGGTTGAGTCAGATGAGCTAAGTCTTGGATGAGAAC